CCCCCCAATTAATAGCTGCCAGTGAACCCAATGAGCTGCTTTTCAAAAATGTGCAAACATTTAGTTTTCCATTATTTTGCATGCTTTATCATTTATTTATTTATTTTTTTGGGGGGGGAGGGTAATTTAGTCTTATTTCAAAGTGTTTTGTGTATGTTTTCCTCTTTTTGTTTAGTTTTTTATTTAATTGTTTCTTGTGTAGTGTTGCATTTATTTTTTTTAAGCTAAATTTTTGTTGTCTGTGTTTGCTTTCGGCAAAAATGTTTCCTTTTTTTCGTAGTTTTAGATAGCATAAGGGAGCTGTCAGCTTTTTTTGCTGTGTGAGATTTCTCTTCGCTTCTTTTCCAATAGGCACAACAGGAAGTGAGAGGAAATCCCTCAAGAAAGAAAAGAATGTGACAGCTCCAATACACACTGTATGCAGTGGCGTCACAAGGGGGTGTGGGGGGGTGCTAAAGTCAAGCAGACCCTTGTACTATATAGTTGTTGGCAGATCTAAAGGAGATTGTGCAATCAGGCTGTAATATACAATGTGAGCCTAACCCTTAGAAGCCCATCCTGTCCGGCAATCACCCCCCCATGGAGAATGGTAGATCTGCAGTCTGCATGCAAGTGATCTCGGTCCCCGAAAACAAGTGACGGCTTCCCCGCTGTACATTTAGCTCTGCTTGCCCGAAGCAGGGCTAAATGTAGAAAACAACTACCCGCCCGGAGCCCAGAACTGCATGTCCCGGGCATTGGGAGATAGGAATTCCACACACCTGCTGCCCCTCTACTCCCTGCTGCCCCGAGGCCGGGCCTTGGTTGGCCTTGTGGGAAATCCAGCACTGGCCATAGGAGCCACCCTAAAACAGGATATCAGGGTCAGTGCTCAGGGGACCAGCTAATTCTGCAAGAAACTAAAACTTTTAAACATCAGGGAGCAGCATTCATTGTAAGTGATTTCAACAAATTATCTTAAAAACATTTCGATTTTAACACCCAACAACCATGGAAAGAAGAGTTTGTTCTCATCTCTCCCACTGTCTGTGCCCTGTTGCAGTGTAGAGGCTAACATGAGGAAGCGCTTCAGACAGCTGTATTTCTGTAATATAGCGAAACCAGTGACACTGTCCTGACATTTGTATTTCAACAGTAAGTGAAGGAAACCATTTTTTTGTAATTGTTGGTCTTTTTTTCTTTGTTAGTACAAAATAAAAATAAAAAAGTATTTATGAAATATCATCAAAAGAAATAAAAAATGTATCTCAAAAATCTAATTGGGAACAGTGTTGCATGAATGATTGTTAATCACAGCACTGAAAGCTGAAAAATGGCTTGGTAATGGATATTTCAGGCTGGTACTCATCTGGTTAAGCCACACATGTACATGTGCCGGAGTTATGTCATTGCTGGTCAGACCAATTTAGATGGCCGAAAACTCTTGACCTAGTAGAAGATGAATTTAACAGGAAATAGCACAGAGGTTGCTGTGCTGGAGGACTCCTTTTGGGAGGTAAGTCTTTGCATAAAGTGCAAATATTCAATGCACCACGATGAAGACTTCAGTTCCACTTTAGGTCCTGGAACCAGGATAATTTGTAAGGGCCTTCGTTGACAGGCTTTAAGGCCTCATTCACACGAGAAAAGGCGGACGGATTGAAGATCCTCTGGGGGAATTTTGAATTTCCAGGCCTTTTTTAAAGGCCTTCCAGGACTTTAAATAAAGTATGAAAAACAGCCCTGTGACTCCTGATAATGTACACACATATAATTCCCCCTGCACTTCTACATTACCACAAAAAAACACAAATCACTTACAAAGGTGGAAATGTCCTTCAGGCCTCATTCACATGAGAATCAGCCATCACGTACAGTTCCGTGCTACTGAGACGCTACTGTACTGAGTACTGAGATGCTTTTGAGATGACTCAGGTGCATTTGATCTGCATTTAGCGTGCTTCGATTGCTTTTGCATTCAAATGGATTTGCGTGGAGAGAGAAGTTCTGAAGCAAACAAAAGTCCATTGACATTGGCTCTAAGGCCCATGTCACATTGCCACTTTTGTAGCAGCTACAGAATTGCTCTCCATAGAGTGTTTGTTTTATGGAATAAAAATGAATTTCAGTCATTGTGAGGTATTTGTCTCCAAAACATCAAGCGATTTGTAGCACTGAGCTGTTACATTTTGCAGCATTTGGTGCCAGTGACAGAAATACCAACTTCAGTAGCTACTCATGTTATCCAATGCAGCTGCTGATGATGGTACACCAGCGATTTGTAGATGTATAGATAAGCATTGTAGCCAGCTACTGCAGCTTCTCCGTACCTAGCTACAAATCACCAAAGAAAGTAAGCAAAGAGATTTGTAGCTGCAAATCGCTTCTACAAAGTTGTTGGTGTCACATGGCCTTAAAACAGATCGCTGTGCTCTATAAAGTGCAGTTACCATACCTGCACCAGCTCTCATTCCCCTATTGTACAACCAAATACTAGCCTATTCGGAAATGGAAAAGCTCTGAAACTTTTGGGTTGTGTCAGTTCTCACTGTTCCCTCCTGCTCTCCCACATTTCTATTTTTACTTCCTCTTCCCTGACTATCAATCCCATGCGCAAACCCCCCTCCTCCTTTTTAATTTTTTTCCTTTTTAGGGCGTGTTTCCACCAACCCATTTTACTAGGGATGTTCAGATACCAAGTACTGTACTTGGTACAAGTACAAGTGCAGATACTTTTCCAGCTCCAAGACTAGACTAGAGAAAAACTGAAAAGTTAGGAGGCAGCTATCATTTTTAAGGAGCATACAGGGCTCCTGGAATTAGTGCTTACCTGTGTTAATGCATGGTTTATTATATATTAGGGATGCACCGATACCATTTTTTTCCACACCAAGTAAAAGTAATTGTCCAGGTACTCGCAGATACAATTACTGATACATTTTTGTAATACAGACTAATGATTTCCGGACAGTGGTGGAGAGCCAGAGCCAGGTCCCAGCTGCAACTTCTGCAACCCTGGTGGTTCTCCTGAAAATTGAAATTTTTGGTACTAGTATCTGAACTGGTATCTGAACATCCCTACATTTTACCATACACTCATTTATGTCCATCACACACCTAGACGTTGTCTGCTATCCTCACAATTTGGCAATGCCTAGCTGTATTGCCCCTTTCTGCTATTGCAGAACCCTCTTATACAAGGTTTCCTATTGCTTACTACTTCCTCTCTCCGTTTCCCTAGTACACAAACTCTTTTACTATGCTCCCCCTTTCCCTTCGCTAGCCAGTGCTTAACTACATGCCTCACTGCAAGGCTCTGGGCATTGATCGACTGGATGAACCCTGTGATACAGTTCCACCTCACATCTTTCTAATGGCTGCCTGTAAATTTATCTTCATTTCCCAATTCTCCTTGGAAATGCAATGTAGCTTTTTTATCTTCTCACCATGACAAAATAGTCTGCTTACAAGAGACAAGGTTTTCTACTTCTTCACAGCCAACCTTCCTCCATAGACAATTTGAAGCTACCTTTCAGGAGAAAAAAAAGAGGCATTGTTATTGTCTTATTGTCTATTGTCCCTTCATGTGTTCATTGGAAATTGCAAACCTGACCGGTCGAGACCTTGTTACAAGACACCATTTTGATACTGCAGTTACAGTAGTAAAATACTACACCAACAACACTTACCAACCCCATTTTTTCTTCACTTCTTAGGTATCTCCTCACATAAAAAGGGTACTTTGTTTGTTATCAGAACGCTAATATGATCCTAGATTACAAACTATACAAATCCAAGTCTACATCTAGCATACCTAGGAGGAAACAATCTTAAGTTCACATCCAGCGCATGAGCGCGTATCAGATTATGAACTAATTGATGTATGGAGAGATCAAAACCTCTCGCAAGGTCAGTTTATTTGCCGATTACATTATATTCCTACTTTTCCTACCTTTTTTCCTTTTTGTTAAAAAATGATATATCTTTCTGGATATCCTATAACATTTCATGGGTAAAAGAGTCAGAGTCACCTTGAAAAGTCTGAGTGCTGTCTTTTTCTGTTTGAATTTGCAGTGTTACCATTTAGCCAAGCTCCCACCTCTAGTGAAGGGTTATATGAGGTTTGCGTGGTGTGGATTGATGTATTGCAAGCAATAAAAATCTGACATGAGTTGCCCTACTAAGCTTACCCTAGTTTACTAAAAATATTATGCAGTTTGTGTCCATGTTCAAATTTTGCCTCGTTTCCTGTCTGCTAAATCAGTTGTTACAATGGCATTAAGTAAGGGGAAATATCTCTAAGGAAGCCATGAATAGCAGTTAAAGCCTGACAACAAAAAGTCTTGGCTGGAAATACCCTTTCTGGGGCACTTGGGAGAGGTGTTTAATCTTCAATGGCTTTCTATGGCTGCATGTATATGTTACTGATTTGTTTTGATTAGGAAGTCTTATGAGAACATTCATGTAAGTCAGGAGCTTATTATGTCTATAATGATGAACATACAATATGGA